AAGGATTTAACTCTCTTCCCACACTCCTGGCTTCTTTTGACTAGGAAAAGTCATGCACCAACACAACTCCCACATTAGACTGACATCCTTGTTCTATTTACCAATCACATGCAAGCTCATTCGTGTTTTAGAAACATCTGTTGTGCCAGAACAACCAGTACTCAGTCCATGGAGGAAAGGAGGGTGGAAAATGCCCTTTCTTAAGACGAGTGCTTTGCTTAGCTTGGTGGTTCTCAAATGTATATGATTTTGCACACCTCCGCTACCCCCACCTGCCTCAGGAGCCATTTAACAATGTCTTGGAGACACTTTGTTATAACTGGACTGGGAAGGAGGGTGTTGCCATTGGAATCTAGAAGCCAGAAAATGCTACTAAGCATCCACAACACAGAACCTCCATCCACTATTTTACAGACTCACGGCAAAGACGTGTCCTGCCCACAGTGTCCACAGTCTCCAGGTTGATAAAATCTGCCTTAGACAGATGCTGCCATATTGGCTCTCTGGGCACCTCTCCCCACTTCTATCGCTAAGCAAGCAAGCCTCCTGCTGTTACAGACATATTCTAAGTGGATGTAATTAGATGCTGCCTAATTTATAATCATGTTCCCTGTACTCCTCCGGAGTTTATGGACAGGTGACTTGGGAGATCTTGGAACTCCAAACTCCTTGTCATTCATTTACAATGTTTTGGTTTACTCTGTGGAGTTAATCACACTCGTTCAGTCAAGATTGTTTGTACTAGGAGAAAGCTTAAAGGACAACCTAGGAAGCTTCCTCAGTGTTTCCCAGTCCCAACAACCAGATGCTTGCCTGTTTGTATTTCCAGGGTAGTTGAAACACCAGGCTTCTCTACAGTGTAATTTGGTTGCCTGGCTCTCTAATTAAGAGACCAGGCATACAATTCTCTTCCCACCGCGTTACTACCTGTGTGACTGTAGGCATGAAATTAAACTTACTGGAAATTCAGTTTTCTTTTTTTTTTTTTTTTCATAAAATAGGGGTAACGGTATTCGATTTATAGGATTGTTGGAAAGATAAAATACAGTGTCTAAGAGTGTTCAACACCACCGGGAAGTAACATATGCTCAATTAATGGTAGTTCCTTTTCCCTTAGAACGATCCCCTACCCAAATTGCCATTGCGAAGTTTGCTTTTCTTGTGCTTCTGCTTTTCTTTTTCTGAGTTGGTCTCTGTTTCGCAAACTCCAAGTTCCAATGGCTCCTGTAAGATCAAAATAAAATTACTGGAGAAAGTGACAAACTGTAGCATTTATCAGCCAGAAGAGGTCTGTAGCAAAGTGGTAGAATCCCTCATCCCTAAACTAGGTTTCTCTCCCAGCTTTCTGAGCATAAGGTCTGTATCTTATTTATCCCATGCCTCCGAAGAGAGCCTAGGAGTGGGTGTTAGACAACTAAGAAGGTCAGAGACCTACTCAGATATATTGGGCTGTCGGGAAAATCATGACGTATTTTTGCATAGAAAAATAGGTCATGACTTCTTCGACAACATAGTGGTATTTGTATGCGAACATGCTACCAAACTACTTAATCTTTTCAAAATAAATTTTGTATAGCATACAGATAATGAAAGATGTTTTTGCCATCTTTAGCAAGATAACCTGTTTTCATTATATTCTTCATTTCCAGTTAGTCCTTATATTACACAAGGTTGTAATCATAGCATACCACAATTTTATCTTTTATTAACCTGTTATTATATCAGAAATATTGCCCATGACATAGTCTTCCTAATTATAGCTTTTATGATGAATGGTGATTAGATTAAATTGATAGATCCTCACTTACCCAGGCATCTCACTTACACTGAGCATTTAGAGTCCTGCTAGTTTTTTCATTTGGTTTTACATTTTTATTTTTAACTTTTACTACAGAACATGTGCACTCACCAGAAAGAGAGACAGGGAGAGAGAGTGGGAAAGTGAGAAATGGGGGATGGCCACATCTCCTCTCAGGATTTTGGGCATGCACGTGCACACACACAGCATGTTTTTTAAGTCACCAGGTCTGGGATTCTAACTGCACTGTCAACCACATGGGATCTAGTATGTCAACCACTATGCCACCTGCTGGCCCCGGTGACTAGTTATTTTTTGCCTTGTATTTCAAACTATAATAAGCATATTAATTGCCTTTATTTATTTATTTATTATTTTTAAAATTATTATTATTATTATTATATTAATTTGCTATAGGGTACATATGCTTACCAGAGAGAGAGAGAAAGAAAGAGAGCAAGCCACCAGGTCCAGGACTTTAACTGCGGTGGACCATGCGGGAGCATTACACCTTAACTACCATACCACCTGCAGGCCCTGAATGTATCCTTTTCCTAGCCCCTGGCTCCCCACTGCCTTTGGATGGTGTTTCTCCAAGTTTTTTGGATACTAAGAGTATTATCACAAAAAGGTTTGGCTGCCATTCAAGTTTGAAGAAAGTTAATGGGTGGTTGATGTAGAACTTAGAGCCTGTGGGGTGATGTGCATTTCCCTGGACCTCCAAAGGATTGAGCATGCCCCTTGGACCATGGCACTCTGATAGTAAAACAAGGATTCTTGGCACCAGCAAGTGGCATAGTGGTTAAGGCACTGGACACTCCCATATGGCTGACCACAGTTCGAGTCCCGGACCTGGTGGTTTGCTTTCTCACTTTCCCTCTCTTTCTCGTCAAATTAAAATAAATGAATGAATAAATAAAATTAAATAATTAATTCTTTAAAAAAAAAAAAAAAAAGGATTCCCGGGACCATCAGTTAGCAAAACGGGACCAGCAGTTAGCATAATGGCTTTGTCACTGGATTCCCATGTAGTCGACTGCGGTTCACGTCCTGGACCCGGTGGCTTAAAGCTCATACCAAGCACTTGTACATGAGTGCCCAAGATCCTGAGAGGAGAATGGAGGAGAAGGGAATGCAGCGTGGCCATCCCCCCAGGGGTTGATTTCTCGCTTTCTGTCTCTCTGTCTCGCTCTGTCTGTCTGGCGAGTGCACCGCTCTATAGCAAAAAACTCTTAAAAAACAAACAAACAAAACAAAAACAAGGATTCTTGATAGGGAAAAACTTATTCCTTTGTTTTCACCAACCTCTAATTAAAATGACCATCCTTCAATTGAATGTAGGTTACAAACCACAGTAGTTCTAGCTGTGTGACTTTGTCACCGAAAAGAAACCACAGATTCTGTTCATATCACATTAAATTGTTGCAGATAGCTTTAAATAGCATACATTTGATATGATTTATATGATTTAATTCTATGGTTATTAGACCCACCACTGTATTTGGTTATTTAATGCATCTATAAATAAGCAGATATATCACAATTTTTTATTTTGACAAATGTATCTTAACATAATTGTTTCCTTTGTAATTCTATGCATTTAATTTTGTGTATTTAGATTTTTTATTCTAAAAGGTATCTAGGTTCATCAGAATGCCAAAGGGAACTGTGGAACAAAAAAGTTTAAAAACACTGCTTAGGGGACCAGCAGTTGGCATAATAGCTATGTCACTGGACTCCCATGTAGTCAACTGCAGTTTGAGTCCCAGACCCGGTGGATTAAACTAATGCCAGGCACGTGTGCATGCCTGCCCAAGATCCCTAGAAGAAAATGGAGGAGAAGGGATTACGGTGTGGTCATCCCCCCTGGGAGGGGGGGTAATTTCTTTCTGTCTGTCTCTCTCTGTCTTTCTGGTGAGCACACGCGCCCTATAGCAAAAACCTCTCAAAAAAAAAAAAAGAAAAGAAGAAGAAACTGTCTTAGGACATCTCAAGACCTAGGGTTCTGCAAAATATTTTGAAAATGCTACTTTAAGACACAAAGACTGAAATTGGTGAGCCAAAAGAATCAACACTATTGTAGTTCTTGTTACCTTTGGCCAGATCTTGTTCCAAAAGATACATCAAATTTATCCATAGAAGTACATAGTGTACTTATTTTACCACAACTATCCAGTATTGGGTAATTTCAGTGTATCTTACTTGGGTATATTTCTTAATATTTATTACTATCTAATATTACTCTGGCTTATTAGAATCTTAGCACTCGAAAATACCTCAGGAAGGTATATAATCCTAGTTCTTCCCACCAAAAGTTATATGAATATACTTCAATTATGCCTTCTTTCCATCTTTTTCCTTTTTTTTCCCCAGATACATAAAAAGGAGGAAAATAGTCACAGCCCCAATTCTTCACAATATCTACCACCTCTTATGGTCTCGCATTACCTGGAGCGTGGGTCTCGCCCTGTTGAGGATCAGGTGTCCGATGGGGCTTCAAACGGGATCTATCTTTTTCCATATCCATCTTGCTGCTATTTGGTCTGGCTTCCACAAGCAGCCTAAAAGCTTTTTCAAAATATCAAAACTAACAACTAACACTTTAAAAGAAAAAAAAAAAAAAAGCACTCACACACACAAGTTTGCTTGTCACTTGACTTCCCGCCTAAAAGTTTTATCTGGTCTGGCTTATTAGAATCTTAGCACTCGAAAATACCTCAGGAAGGTATATAATCCTAGTTCTTCCCACCAAAAGTTATATGAATATACTTCAATTATGCCTTCTTTCCATCTTTTTCCTTTTTTTTCCCCAGATACATAAAAAGGAGGAAAATAGTCACAGCCCCAATTCTTCACAATATCTACCACCTCTTATGGTCTCGCATTACCTGGAGCGTGGGTCTCGCCCTGTTGAGGATCAGGTGTCCGATGGGGCTTCAAACGGGATCTATCTTTTTCCATATCCATCTTGCTGCTATTTGGTCTGGCTTCCACAAGCAGCCTAAAAGCTTTTTCAAAATATCAAAACTAACAACTAACACTTTAAAAGAAAAAAAAAAAAAAAAGCACTCACACACACAAGTTTGCTTGTCACTTGACTTCCCGCCTAAAAGTTTTATCTGGTTGGACCACAGCTGCAGGCTAGTTCTATCTTTATCACAGCGCACAGGTGTGAGCAGGGGGAATGGCTGGCGCTTCGTCCTCCTCTAGCATTGGACTGTTTATACAGGGAGCCCTCTGGCCACAGCCAGCTTCAGCACAGCCTCCAGTACAGTCATCATTCAGTTCTGTCTGCCCGGAAGTGTGTGACCCAATGTTCCTTGTGACAAATGGAGGCGTCCTGGTGTAGAAAGAACACGGGAACTAGGGTCCAACCAGCTTGATGGCCCAGAGCAAGTCACCTCCCCTTTCTGTGACTCTTTCCTCATTTGCAAAATGGGTAAAGGTTGCAATACCCAGTTGGGAGATTCAGCAGACTTGACAATGCATATTCTGTGCCTTGTACTGAGCAGGGCTGTCAGGCCACAGAGATGGAGAGTGTGGTCGGACCTCTGCATACTGCAGGCTCACAGAGTAAACAGTGTATACATCTCTACAGTAAGAAACTAATATTCAGATTCTTTATACCCATGAAAACGGTCCTAAGTTGATTCCCCCCTGCCCTGTGTTCCCTATATCTAGAATCAGAATGTGGAGAGACTCTAAGAGGGTGGGGTCCCAAATTACCAGTAAAGTGAGGGCAATATTGGGTGGAGGGGCCAAAGAGACACTTTGCAGTGAACTAGATTGGAAGTCGGGCAAGCTGTCTCTGGTGTGATAAGCAGGCCAGCGCGGGAATTTGAGACAGAAATAGCTATACGCTAAGTTTACAAGCCACTGTTTATAGCCCCTTCTCTCTATAAGGAATTCTACAGTTATTACCAGAAAGTGAGATGTTAGGCATTGAAAGCCAGATATTTTTAGCAAATACCTGTACCTTGTTTCTAGAGTTTTTTGCATGCACATGAAACCTCCCCATAGACCACAGACTTTGACAGGGCGGTATGGCTCCTGATTCACCTTTCTGTCTCCAGCATGGCCTAGTGTGGGAGGCTTGGCCTACAGGAGTCCCCATACATGCCCTCACTCCCTGTAGGCAAGGCCAGCTTCAAGGCCAGCAACCTGGGAATGTACTTCATGCACTCGGAGGGGCTGAAGATTCTGTGACTTAACAGTAAAACCAGCATCCGTTCCAGAACTCTTTCTACTCTCATTCATTTCATGCCCAGCACTGGTCCATTTGCTGGAGATAGAGTAGTTAAGTGGCAGATTCTCTACCCTCACAGAGCCTACAAACGATAAGCAATTACGTAAAATATGTAATGTATGAGAGGATGATTAGTGCTTTGGAGAAAATTGAGCTGGGACTGAGATGAGGATTGAGTTCAGGAAGGCTTAACCAGTAGGGTGACAGCTGAGCAGAAGTAAAGGAGGCGAGGGGACAGCCATGCTGCTATGTGGGAGAGCATTCGAGGCACAGCGACACCAGCAAATGGCCAGAGCAAAGGGATGGTGAGAATATGGGATCAGAGAGGTCGCGTGTTGCTCCTTGTTGGAATTTCTATTCTGAGTGAGATGGAGAGTCATGAAACAGTTTTGAACAGAAGAGTGCTACAATCTGACTTGTATGCATGAGGATTATTCTGACAATTGTGTGGGAAAAGAGGAGGTAGAAGCAGGGAGACCAATCAAAAAGACGTTGCACAGACCCACGAGGAGGGAGATGACTAAGGCTGGGATGATGGTAATAGTGAAGTGGTGGTCAGATTCTGGACTAAGTAACAAACTAGTTACGAAGTGGGAGAGAAAGAGCGCAAGACAAGGGCTTCAATGTGAGCAATGGGAAGGATGGAGTTACCACTCACAGGCGAGGAAGACTGGGAGGAGCAGGCTTGGAGAGATGAGCAGGAGTGCAGTTCTGGATGTGCTAACAGATCAACAAGAAAATAGCAAAAGAGAGGCCATTAAAGGAGAGAAACTCCAGAAAATGGCTATGTACTAGAAGCCAAGCAGAAAACGTGTTTCAAGGAGGAGGGACTGATCAGCTGTCAAATTTTGCTAGCAGGCAAAGTACATGAAAGATTGATAATTGTCCTAACCGTTGATTCCCTAATAATTCGGTTCAATTCAGTAAAGACTGTGGAGTCTAGAGAAAGACCAGATACGTAATTTGCTTAGGCCCAGCACAAAATGAAAATACAGGACTCTACTTCAAAATGTACCAGGAATTTCAAGACAACTACAACAGAAAATTGCTCACCACTGGACCCATACTTTGGTAAATGTTTTACTGGATCCTTGCAATAAATCTATAAAATAACTATTGATAGTGTCCTTATATTTCAGGTCAAGAAACTGGTGCTCAGTGTGCTGAGTAATATAACTGAGGGCACAAGGCCAGACTGGGAGTTTGAGCCTGGTACCTGGGCCTTGAACTTCCAAGTCCAGCCCTCTTCCTACCAGACCAAACTAGGTAGAGAGTCACTTTCCTGCATCCTGACCCTTTGGCGCAGGTATAAGTAGTGAGGTCTTGTCCAGACATTTCAGAGCCCAATTGAACTGGTGTGTGGAAAGGAAGCACATAGTTAAAAACTCCTGCCCCCTCAAGGGTTGGCAGGTGGAGTGGCAGTTAAGGTGCTGGACTTTTATGTGGCCACCCATGGTTTGAGTCCTCGACCTGGTGACTTTCTTTCTCTCTTTCTCTCTCTCTGGTCAAATTAAAATAAATAAATGAATTTAGTTAAATATTCTTTAAAATAAATAAAAAGAACTTCTGACCTAGGGCCAGCAGGTAGTGTGGTGGTTGGGACACGGGACTCCCACATGTGGTTCGTAGTCCCAAACCCAGTGGCTTGCTGTCTCACTTTCCCACTCTCTTTCTGTCCAAATTTATATATATATATATCTCTGTCTCTGCCTGGTCAAATTAAAAAAAAAAAACAATAACAAATGAAATTAAATAAATAAATATTTCTTTAAAAAAAAAAACTTCAGCCCCAGGACTCTTTTTTTTTTTTTGAGAGGTTTTTGCTATAGGGCACATGTGCTCACCAGAAAGAGTGAGACAGAGAGACAGAAAGTGAGAAATCACCCCCCAGAGGGGATGGCCATGCCACAATCACTTCTCCTCCATTCTTCTCTCAGGATCTTGGGCACGCATGCACACGTGCCTGGTGTGAGTTTAAGCCACTGGGTCCGGGACTCGAACCACGGTTGACTACATGGGAATCCAGCGACATAGCCATTACACTAACTGCTGGTCCCACCCCAGGATTCTTTATGATGGGGTCGAAAGAGGTACATAGAAAAAATAGTTCGGCCCATGTGCTGGATGCTATTTAGCCAAAAATATGGCCTGATAAAAGTGCCACAAAGCTAATGCTGTTTTAGACTATATTGAGAGAATTATAGCCATCCAAACCAGGGAGATGGGAGTCCTACCATGCTTTGGTTTGTCATAACGTAGCTAGAATGTCACACTGTGAAGGCCACGTGAGTAGCATTGAAATCAGATACTGCAAAGAACAAGGAGTACAGGGCTTTACCATTGCCTGGCTGGGTAATTGGAGAACATCTCCTAACTCTTTCTGATCCTCGGTTTCTTCCCTTCTAAAACAGAGAGAAGTCCTACTTCACGGGGATTCTGTGAGGGTAAAGATCATGAGAGCTTTTTATAAAATGAAAGCTCTGTGTAGAAATAAGTTCCATAAACTAGGGCAGTGTTAATAGTATTATTAGAGTGTTCTATTGGTACACCTCGGCGTTTTCCTAACGTATCCTTGGGTAGAAAGTCAAGAAAAGGAAGACTTTGTATGCTGGTTTTTCACAGAATTCTTTCCTTGCCCAAATACATTGTCAAAGCTTTGGAATACTTTTCAAAGAATCGAGCTTCGTTTTCCTTAGTGGGGAAGGAAAGGTTCTTCTTTCCCTCTCTCACAGTCTGTTGATTCATGATAAATGAGCTCTGTCTGCTAAAACAGACGCTGCTGTATGCATACAGATAATGTGTTCTAAAACTCTGGAGTGGATATAGGCTGACTTTCTTTCTTTCTTTTCTTTTTTCCCTTTACTGTAGGGCACATATGCTTGCTGGAGAGAGACAGAAGGCAAGGAAGAAAGCATCCCCCACAGGGAAGGATGCCACAGTCCCTTCTCCTCCATTCTCCTCTCAGGATTTTGAGGACACATGCATATGTGCCCAGCATGTTTTCCAAGCCACTGAAGTCCAGGATTTAAATGATGCAGCCAGTCAGGTTAGATCCAGTACCTTAACCTCCATGCCACCAGCTGACCCTGGCTTTCAACCAAGTTTGTTCCAAAGCGCCTTCTCTTGGCCTCCTCTAACCAATGTCACTTTCCATCTCTTAAAGTATAAGACAAAAAAGTGTCTCTGAATAATGTGGGAGAGTGGTCATTTCTCAGGGAAGAACAACGCTGCTCCCATTTTGGGCCACCATCATCTCTCTGTCCTTTAATTCCTGAACCTCCTGAGCTAATAAGGCGTTCACACTAACCTCCTTCTCCCCACGTCACTTCATTGCTTTGCGTCTGCAATCTAGTTTTCCTTCCACAGGTTATTCTCTCTTAAGTCATTGTCTACTCCCTAATGGCCAGAGCCAGTGACCCCTCTCAGTCCTCTCTGACCTCTCTGCCGCTCGTGGTTCCTTTGAGCACGTCTCTCTACCCTGAAATGTGCTCCACTCTGGCTTCTTTATTTTTTTTATTTTACTTATTTATTTTGGAGAGGTTTTTGCTATAGGACGCGTGTGCTCGCCAGACAGACAGAGACGTAGAGACAGAAAGCGAGAAATCACCCCACAGAGGGGATAGTCATGCCGCAATCCCTTCTCCTCCATTCTCCTCTCGGGATCTTGGGCACGCACGCACACGCGCCTGGCGTGAGTTTTAAGCCACCAGCTCCAGGACACGAACCATGGTCGACTACAAGGGAGCCCAGCGACATAGCCATTACGCTAACTGCTGGTTCCCTCTCCACTCTGGCTTCTGTAGTGTGTGTTCTTTGCCATGCTAACCCTCCTCATCCTTGCTCACGGGCTTCTCTTTCACTCCTCTAGATGGGGGAGGCATTTTTAAATTTCTACTCTCACCCTTCATAGAGAGATGATCCAACAATATTGTGCTTCTACCTACCACTTCTGTGCAAATATATTCTGAGTTCTACACTTTATTGATGTTGTTAGAAGGTGTGTGTGCTCACCAGAAAGAGACAGCAGCAGAGGAGAGGGAGAAAGCAACCCCCATGGGGGATGGTCTCACCACAATCTCTTCTCTTCCAATTCAACCTCCTTTTGGGATTTTGGGCATGCAGATTTACATACTTGGCATGTTTCTCAAGCTGCTGGGTCTAGGACTTGAACCATGTAGTTGACCATCATGGGATCCATCTGCCTTAACCACCAGCCCATGGACCTAGCCTACTAAGAACATATTTTTGAATATATTCTGGTTATCACTCATCACCTGAACTTCCATCCCATTGTGTGTCAAACTTAGCATAGCTAAAAGGAAACTTATCTTCCCCCCAGTCTATGCTCCCCTGTGTTTAATTTCTGTTAGGACAGTGTACCAGGCTACTCGCCATCCAGTTCCAAACCTTCAGATTGTCCTTGACTCCGCCCCCTCACTTTGTCTCTCATATCCAACTGGATACAGTTCTAACCGTTCATGCTTTCAGATGTCCCACTTGCTCCTTCCCTCTTTTTCTTTCCCATGACACCATCCCAGAGGGGAACCTCAACTTCTCACTAAGAGCATTGTTAAAGATTCCTAATTGGTTTATCTGCTTCTTCCCTCCTCACCCTCCATAGTTCATCCTGCACACACAGCCAGAGTCGTCCTGAGTCCGACCCAGTCACCACCTTATTTAGAAGTCTGCGAAGTCTCAGTCTGCAGGATAAAGTCTAACTTTCTCAGTCTGCCATTGAAGGCCAACTGCCCAACGTCTCTCCTCTTCCTTTCCTGCAACAATTCAGTGTTCCACTTGCCTTCCCTGTTTTGCCTTGCCTCTTTCTAACACCTGTGGTCCCTTTCTTCACACCTTCAGGTTGTTCAGTGCTCTTACCTTCCAGACAGAGGGTACCCCTGTCACAAAGCCTCTGATAATGAGTGTGATGCAACGTGAGCTGCTCTACAAGCTCACAATGGGTAGCCGAGCACTTTACATGTGTTACCTCATTTAAAGAGGTTAGATTACATCCCCGTGTCACATTAACTAGTAAGTGGCAGAGTTAGGGCTTGGAACCACACAGCCTATCTGGCCCTAACATTCGCAAATTTAACTGTTCAGTTCTACTGCATGTTCCTAGCTAGAAGGGATCTCTTCTTTCTGAGCTATAATCACACTTGAACCTCTTTTATGGTAAATATCATACAATATTTTTTAAGTTATTGTTCATATGTGCATAGCTTCCCTATATTCATTCAACAAACATGTATTGAGCATTTATTTCTTGCTAACCCATTTGCTAAGAACTGGAGGCAGAGGGACCAGCAGTTGGCATAATAGCTATGTTGCTGGACTCCCATGTAGTTGACCGCGGTTTGAGTCCTGGACCTGGTGGCTTAAAATTGTGCAGGCTGCATGTGTGTGCATGTCCAAGAACCCGAGAGGAGAATGGAGGAGAAGGGATTGCAGCATGGCCATCCTCCCTTGGGAGGTGGGGGTGATTGTTTCCTGTCTCTCTGGTGAGCACACATGCCCTATAGCAAAAGCCTTTAAAAAAAAAAAGAAAAGAAAAGAATTTGAGGCAGAGAAATCAAACAGGAGTTTTTCTCTCAGAGAATTCATACTCTAAGAGTGACAGATAATAAGTAAATCTGGATTTAGAATACAATACGGTGTGATGATTTTAATATCAACATTTCTGAATGTTCTGAGATTAGAGGTGGAGTGCTAAAGCTGCTGCATTAGAGAAGGTAAGAAGATTATGTTGTATATCCGGTGGCCATAATTCCCTCTGTTCACAACTGCCTCGGCATGACTCTGAGAGTTGGGAAAATGAAGACTCTCTATATACAGTAGTGTTGCATATATATATATATTTAACTCTATAATGGTTTCAAGTTTTTTCACTTTTATTATTTCACAGAAATAATAATGTCCAGTATTTATTATATACTTGTTTATCATATCCCAGGCTATGTTCTAATCACTTTACATATAATTCATTTAGCTTTTTTTTCCCCCCTAAAGATCATTGATTTATTTCCAGAGAAGGAGAGAGAGCCCCACAACAGGGTCTTCTTGCCATGACCTCTCTCGAGCCCAGCAGCCACTGCGGTCCCAGGCAGCCAGGTGTTCCCAGCAGCCAGCTGCGGTCCCAGGCAGCCAGGTGTGCTCAGTAGACTCAACAAACTCAGGTAGACCTACTGCCTGCACCACCGCTGCTGGACCCCATTTAGTCTACAACATCCTTTAAGGCAGGTCCTATTAATATTTCTATTTTGGGACCAGCGGATGGCGTAATGGCTACGTCGCTGGACTCCCATGTAGTTGACTGCGGTTCAAGTCCCAGGCCTGGTGGCTTAAACTCATGCTGACTGTATGTGCGTGCGTGCCCAAGAATGGAGGAGAAGGGATTTGGGTGTGGCCATCCTCCCTGGGGGGTGATTTCTCACTTTCTGTCTCTCTGTCTCTCTCTGTCTTTCCGGCGAGCCCACATGCCTTATAGCAAAAACCTCTTGAAAACAAAACAAAACAAAACAAACTTCTATTTTATAGAGAAAACAACTGAAGTATAGGCATTGAACCTGTGCTGTGAGTCACATCCCTAGTAGGTGGCAAAACTGGGCAGTTCAGATTTAAAAGGTCACATATTTTCCTCACTTTCCGACCTCTCAATTCTACTTCTCTGGTATTTAATAACATAAGGTAGCAATATGTTTTCTTTTCCAATCCTCTCCTCCTCCTGTCTTCCCATCCTCCCTCTCCCTTACTCCTTTCTTTTTCTCTTTTCATTAAAATATTTATTTATTTAATTCCATTTGTCATTATTTGTTTTAACTTGACCAGAGAGAGAGAGAGAGAGAGAGAGAGTAAATGAGAAAGCAAGTCCCCATGTCTGGGACTCCAACCGCAGTTGGCCATGTGGGAAGTCCAGTACCTTAACCACCATGCCACTTGCTGGCCCCATTTTTCTATAACCATTTGCCATTTGTCAACTAACTACTCTGTGCCTGGAACTATGCAGGATACTGAGGATATGAAGGCAATTTTTTTTTCAAAGAATTATTCATTTAATTTTATTTATTATTATTCTTTTAAAAATTTTGCTGTAGGGCACATGTGCTCCCCAGAGAGAAAGGAAAAGTGAGAAATGAAGCAGTCAGGTCTAGGACTTGAACAGCAATCAAGTGAGAGTCATGTGAGAGTCCAGTGCCTCAGCCACCATGCCACCTGCTGACCCTGAAGGCAAATATTAAAAAGAAAGATACACAGAAAATTAAGGGAACACAGAGGAGAGACACCTAAACAAGATGGAGGAATGAGGTCAAAGTAGCCTTCCTGGAAGAGATGATCTCGAGCTTCGTCTCTAAGGGTGAATGGGAAGTAACTACCAGGACACGGCAGTGCTAAGCGGAACCAACACAGGCTCTGGAGTCAGATCTAAGTTCATTCGAACCAGGTTCTGTGTGACCTTGGGCAAGGTCCTTAGAATCTTCCAGATTCAACTCTTCATATATAGAATGGGGATTATAATATCTATCTTTTAAGGCTGTTGTGACACTTAAGAATGATGATTGGGCCAGCCTGTGGCATGCTGGTTGAGGTGTCTGGATCCCACATGGCCAACTGCACAGTTCGAGTCCCAGATTTGACAGCCTGAGAAACTCGCTGGGTACATATGTGTGCCTGCCCAAAATCTAGAAAGGAGGGAGAAATGGAGGAGAAGGGATTGCCACGTGACCATTCCCCATGGGGAAAGAGGAGCATTCCCACTTTTCCTTTCTCTCTGTCTCCCTCCAGCAAGCACACATGCCCTCTGGCAAAACAAAACGAAATAAAAACAACTTATGGAAAGCATCCAGTGTAGTGCCTGGCATAAAAGCAGACCTTAATGTGCTGGCTGTTATCATGATCATTCATAATTTCAATAATGATAAGTGAAATAGAACCACCAAAGCTATGCAGGACTGTAGAGTTATTTTACAGATGCAGAAACAGAGACCTAAAAAGAGGCCAGTGTCACACAGGCTTATGGGAAATCGGATCTAGAATCCAGAACTTCTGACGGTTCTACTGTTTTCCCTTCAATTGTCTGAGATTCCAAACTCATTTGTTTATACATCGGTCCACCCTATCCCCTGGCTTAATGAAGTAGTTTCTGAACATTCCAATGGTTGATGCTTAGTTTTTGGATTTTTGCCATTTTTTAAAAGTTAATTTATGTATTGCTTCCATGAGAGAGAGCGAGAGAGTGAAAGAGGCATCCCCAACAGGGTCCTCACAGCTTGATTCACTCCCAGTGTTGGCTGGTCCCGATCACAGGGCAGGTACATATGCACGCACCCCTGTGTGCACAGGGAGATCCAGGGCCACGAACACAGGACCTTACCCATATCAACCTATCTGTGCCACCACTGTGTCATCACCTGGTCTCATGTCATTTTCTTATCATCACATCCCCTGTGTTATTATTTGCTTATTATTTTTCTTCAAATAAATTCGTGTTTGCTAAAAGTACTTAAAATAATTATTTTTAGAGAGATTTTTGTTACAAAGCATTTGTGCTTACCAGAGAGATGGAGACAGTCAGAAAGGGAGAAATCACCCCCTGGGGGGGGTGGCCATGCCACAATCCCTTCTCCTCTATTCTCCTCTCAGAATTTTGGGCATGCATGCACATCCACCCGGGGTGAGTTTTAAGCTGCCGAGTCCAGGACTCACACCTCGGTCGACCAGCAACATCACTATTACATCATTTTCTGGTCCCTAAAATGATTTTTTTTTTAAAAAATTGGCCGAAGGTTGCATGCACTCACCAGAGAGAAACAGCGAGGGAAAGTGAGAAATCGACCCCCATGGGAAATAGTCACACCGCAATCTCTTCCCCTGCATTTCTCCTTCCTTTGAGAATTTTGGGCATGCACACATATGCACCTGGTGTGTTTTTCAAGCTGCTGGCTCTGGGACTCTAGCTGCTTTAACCACCACACCATGGGCTGGCTTAAAATGGAAATTTTATATCATCATTTTAAATGGAAAACTCACAGTATCATCTGTGAAATCACAGGTCTGTAGTAACAAATTACATTCCTTATAAGACACATTAAAATAAATACTGAACTATTAAATAAAAATGTCTTATCTAAAATTGTCTGTGCTGCCCTGAGTGTTATGCACACCACATACTGGAAAGTACTGTCTATGTAATTAATCAGTGAATTATTTTCCTTTCACAGAACTTCTAGATCATGTTCAAGTCTACTCTCAGTCCAAGCCGCCCTTTGCAGTGGTTGGTTTACATTCACAAGAAGCAGAGTCAAAGACCCAACCCCCTCCCTGGCCTGCCGCTGACCTACCCTCACGTCATGCATCATTTGTCACTGTGTCAGCTACTCTGCAGGGGTTCTAGGTGAATACTAGCTTCCGTTTGAGCTAATATCTACGCTTCTTGGAGTTTTCGCTTCCCTGAGAGGTTATCTACTAGAACTTAACATGCCGTATAGCCTTGTCTGGAAACCTGTTTGCCCTGTTTCTAGCAGATTCTATCCCTAGGACTTGGACTTCAGAGCTGGAATAACCTGGATCTGTCCCTGTTGGCGAAGTGCAGCCTTCCAAATGTTTTGGTTTCTGGTGCCTGCCAGAGGGCCTGGTATATACATGCATTCAGTAAATGGTGGTGGCCTATCCAAGTGACTCTGGCTAGAGCTGCTGCCACTAGGTGGGCACAATGGCAATTGCACCATTCTGACCTGTCTCTGAGGTCTTGAACTCTGGCTCCAGCACCTAGTCATTCTTGGAGTCAGCCTGCCTTGCTCCATGATTCTCTGACCCTATCCGTTTCCCCTTCCCTCTGAGTCTTTGCACGAGTTAACTTTGGCAA